CAATCGTTTCTGGATATTTATCACAGAATCTGCATTTTGGGCTGACACAATATTTTAGTATATGTGCTTGATAATTCCTAGTTAGCAAGCATTGGTCCTGCGCAGCAAGGATAAAACCTTCAGTTTCCGCTTTCAACCCTGCACTACGTAGCCACTGATGTGTACGGGTTTTGTCTACGTCAGCTTGTTTGGTACGGGCAGAGTATTGGCCATGAAGCGGTTTATCTTGCCATCGCTTCTGTAACTGGTCGGTTGCATTCGTCTTTGCTGTCTTTTTTAGGTATTTTGCAGTTTCAGCTGGTGTATTGTGGTGTAGTTGCATCTCTACGCCCATTTGAAACTCCATTTTGAATTTGTTGGCTTCTTTCATTACGGAGTAGAGACGCTTACTACTTTCATGTTCCTTGACGCATACCATCATCCAGTCTTCTGTAGTTTCCAAATATCTTTGGAGGCCAATTGTTGTAGTTTTGTAGGACAGTTCTAGTTGAACTAATCCTCTGCCTCCTTCGGATCTGGGCACATACAGACGATCGACATCAGCTTTGGGATGATGCATGCGATAGCAAGTGAGTAGCTTTCTCGTTTTAGCATCCATTCGCTTAATTTCAGCTATGGTCCAGTTAAGGACATTAAAACTGTATTGCACCACAGGGACAGCCAATGTGTTTATGGCTGATATCCTGTTTTTTGAGTTTAGCTCAGTATTTAGTACCAGACGTACACGCCTGTAGTACTCTTTTCTTATTTTTTCCTTCATTTGGGGGTGTTGTATGCCATCTCCTTCGCTAATTTATTATTATTATTATTATTATTTCTTCCTTTGATTTCTGTTGTATACACATTTCCTTCCGGGTCCAAAGATCAGAAATGGTATCATGACATATTCCAATGTACGTTTTTGTAAAAATAAAACAACCTATGATCACCTACATTTTGCTTAGATAAAGCCTTTCGTAAGGTGTGAGCTGTACTTGAGAGAACATTTTTTTGTATTTCATCAGGTATCGCTTTAACAGGAATCCCTTCACTGAGTCTATCGGAATTTTTTTTCAATCAAATCGAGGGCTCCAACTACAACTAGAGTTACTGATTATACATTTCTAGATATCCACTTCAAGATCATCATGATTATCATCATCATCTTAAAAATATTTTTAGATGTCCTCAAAACCATCAGTCATAATGAAAAGCTCAGAATAATTGAAAGAAATTTTGTTCTTTAAACAAGTGAAATTTTTTGCTTAATTTATTACATACTCTTGGTTTACCTCTGTTAAACAAGGGGTTTATGGTGTGGAGCAAAATAAACATTGATTTCATGACAGTCCAATATATAATTAATGAATGATATTGTTTTTATTTCTTAACTTAAAAATGTTAGACTTCTGTCTTTCTGGTAAAAACAAGAAAAAAACAACCCCTTAAAAACGCCACCTTTTTAATTTTATATTTGTAGAGATCCCACTGAACAGTTCTTGACATGCATGAATGATTAGTGATTGTCTTTAAGTGAGAGAGATTCGAGAATTTCATGTTGATGACATGGATTTTTCTCAATATGGCAGAAGGTCATTTTTATTGAAAGTTTTGGAAGCCAAAATAAAATACACTCATACGACATGATTTCTTAAAATTAAAATGTAAAAAAAACTTTTTAAAAATTAGAATCCATTCTGGAGTCCTCTTTTTGATTATGAAAATTCAAATCACGAGTTCCAAATTGTTTCTTTTGTTAAATTTTGTAAAAGTTAATCGGGATGGTTCAGTTTGATATATAAATTCATCGTCGTGTGGAAGGCAATACAAAATATGCTTAGAGGGGCTGATTTCTGAAAATGTAAAAAATGGTATTGGTAATCTGGAGTCCTCTTTTCATATCGACAAATTCTTCGAATAATGAATTTAAAATATATATATATTTTTTTTAAATATTTTCAGAAATTGGTTTGGTTTAGTTTTTTTTATCACCACTATGGGTTACTACTGTACTGTACTGATGCGGCATTCACCCTGGGCGGATTGAGCCGGCTTCTTCCTGTTATGAGAAGATTCTTGGGATAAATTACAGAAGTAGGGTACCCAGGCCTTCTATGGGTTATTTAATGCCGAAATCTAAAAAATGATAATTCATACTTTATAATTATTTAAAGAGAATTACATAGCAAACTGGCCGCACCTATTAACATTTATAAAATTTAAATTTTAATTATTGTTTTTATAATTTTAATCTACAGTTATTAATCTATAGTGATATGAAAAATAATTTTTTTTTAATTTATTATTTCTGGTTTCAGTGTTCCTCTGAAACATTTGAAATTATAGTTGGTCAAGACAGTACAAGTTAGCTTTTGGAATTCTTGAAGATTGAATAAATTTAAAATCAACAGGAAAAATCTTGTGTGTTCAGTAAAAATAACACAAAACAAAAAAAAAATCACTTATATGGTTACACTAGCAGCATGGCCCGGCGTTGCCCGTGCTTGATTCAAAAATCGTATGACTCATACATCAATCGCTATCACTTTACTTAAAATATTTTTGCTCTTCCTTGCCTTTAAAGGAGTGCCCTTTGCCGTGCTGATGTTGCTACATGCCTTACTTCTTGCCTATCTCACACTGCGAATTTTTTCTATGCTCTATACTAAACATTAAATCTGTTACGAAAAAAGAACTAAACAAAATGAACACAAAACGATTAGCTTTAAAAAAGGACTCGTAACTGGAAAAACCGAATGAAAAAAGAATGTTAACAACAAATACTTTTTCACACCCAACCAAGTTCTGCGGAATCAGAATCAACGTTGAGTTTAAGCAAGCGAATGAGCCAATTAGAGTAATGTGCTATGCAGATTTAAATTTTTCCCACTTGTGACGAATGCAGCTATCGATTTTTTTGCATGCTAGTTAACATTCGTGTCAGTCAGCTGTTGGCTCTCACGCTGGCCAATAGAATCTTCCTGCCTATTCGTGGCAGCCAGCTATAGGCTGTCACTCTGGCCAGTAGAAAATAGCCGCAAACTACATGAAAACTGTCGTAGAAGCATGAAAAAATCGATTATTTCCACTATCGATGGGAGTTGGGAAATGCAACGTCGGTCTTGGCCTTCCCGCTAACTTGGAGCATGTGCATGTAAATTTTGGTGCAAATCCGTCGAAAATTGCGGCCGTGCATTCGTTACACACACACACACACACACACACACACACAGCTTTTTATAGATAGAGATAACTGTTCTATAAGATTCGATATTCCATAAAAATAATTTTCCAAAATTATTAATGGCTTACAGCTGTATTCTGTTGAAACACCGACTTCAGTACTATCACCGTAGTTAAGCAAGATTTCGTCTGGTCAGTACCTTGATTGGTGATCGTTTAGGAATACCAGGTACCGTAAGCTTGGATTTGCAGGTGATGTAATGGATTAGAATTGTTAATTGAAAAGGCAAGTTTCAATTCTAGTTGGGCTTGTTATATTCACTAACGGGCAAATACCCTTGGGAAAGGTATGACTCCACCTCTTCTCCTCTCCAGCTATGGGTTAATTAGTAAGACTTATATGACTAAAGTAAACCATTATTATCTTCAAGAATGAAATAAAATTGAGTACAACATATTTAGTTTTGGGCATTAAATAACCCATAGAGGTGTTGATATGCCGCTGAACAAAAGCAACCAACCAACATTATTAATGATAATTTCTTCTTTCTTTTGCTTCATAGTTGAAGGAAATTGATTACAAATGTGAAAGTTATAGATGAAAAGTAATAATTGAAGAAAATTCTTGTTTCGTGATAGAAAAGGAGTTGGCCCAGCTGAAATGTTGGGGTGGGATTGGCAGGAGATCCTTGCAAACGATTAGATGAACTGTTTTGAGTCATCGGTATTTTTTCTTCACTTTCTTTCTTTTTTTTTTTTTTTTTTTTAAATATTGTATGATAAGCTAAATGGGTTACTCATGTCTAATATATCGCCTGAGGATGATCCAGAAAGCATTTCAATAGAAAGACTTTGACAAAAGAAACGACGGAATAGGAATTTCTTGAAAGCATTTGAAACTTGTTGATATCAAACATTTTTAAATAACACGCTAAGGTATTATTAGGCAAGTAAACTACTTGATTCTTTTTATTTTCTGTTTTATTTATTTTTCTCCTCTTTTGCGTGGGACTCATTTGAACAATTTGTTTTGAGTTAATTGACGACGTCTTTGGTAAATATTCTTGGCCTATCAGAACTATCTGCTTTCAATCGTTCGTTGGCAAAGTCTGCCTGGAAGCTGTCCTGATAAAACATTTGCAAAAAGAGGAGAAGTCGACAAACACTACGTTAGACATGGAAGGAACATGAAAACAAAACAGTTACAATATTGCCCGAGGAACGACAAACAGACTTCAAACAACTTGAACCTGTACGTAAATGCTTGCCAAGGTTTATGCGTACGTGTCTGCGTGGGTTCGACCCGTAGACATTGAAAAGAAAATGAAATTCGATTTTGTAAAGCAAATTCCAAGAAAAATAGTAAGATATTGATATATCTTTATGGCTAATTATAGGATAGAGATTTTTTTAAACCCTGGTGGGTGGATTGTCAATTAAGATTGCAATTGCACTGCTCTTCTCAGATTAAAAAAATGTTTGTGTTTCAAATGGCAAATTGCCAAACTTCGTCAGGTGATATATTAAGAAATAAATTCTTGACAATAGTTTTGTGATAATTTCATTTATTTGAAGTGGAGTTATCGAAAAGTGTAATTACTATATGTTGATTCTTTGAGGGTATCATTAATTTTTTTTTCAACCATTCCCAACGGGAATTTTTGTTTCTTTCACTGAAGTTTTACGTATCTACAGTCTCCAGCAGGTGAAACGGTTTCAGTGTAAGCTATTACACGATCATATTTAGCTTACATCGCCATCTTAGGTATTCAACATCTAGCAATAAATAATTGTGTGAGAGAATTGAATTTAAAATGAGATAAACCTACTTGAGTGGCTTATGGCCATATCACATTGAAACACCGGTTCTCGTACACGATCACCGAAGTTAAGCAATGACGATCCTGGTCAATATCTCGATGGGTAACCGCTTGGGAATACCAGGTGCTGTAGGCTTGGATGTGCAGGTGGTGTACTGAATAATGGCTCGGAATTGTTAATGGGAGATCTGAGCCCCACTTCCCATTGAGTTTGTTATATTCACTTACGCGCAACTACCCTTGGGAAATGTATGGCTCCACCTCTTATTCTCCCCAGCTATGGGTTAATTAGTAAAACTTGTATCACTAAACCATTATTATCACCAAAAAAAAAAAAAAATGGAAATCTAAAAATATGTTCTGGCTTTAAATAACCAACGTGTAGAAAACGAATCAAACTGTTTGGATCGCCATGTTTTTCTATTTTTCCATGCTTTAAGTTTTAATTCACAAAGCTGTGCCTAGTCTGGCACAAGCCCGCAAATATGTAGCACTCAGTGAGGACAGAAATCCATATTCAGCTGCTATGTCCAACTAGACTAGCACTATAATAATTACTCTATGCTTTCAGCTGGTCCACTAAAACTATTTCAACTGATTGATAGTGAGACAAAGCAAGGTTGTGTTGGTGAAATCTGCAACATATCAACTCTCTTTGAGTTATTTAATGTTGAAATCTTGTTTGTATTGTTATACTTGAGCCTATACATCTATAAATTATACTTGAGCCTATAGCTCTTAGAGTTGATGCATTGGTTGCGTTTTTTTTTTGTTTTTGTTTTTGTTTTTGTTTTTTTATTTAATTTTTCAATTTTAGTTTGTTTTTTGTTTTTTTAATTGAGTCTGTAGATAAACTTTGAATTGGCAAACATCCACCCGAAAGGTGGCTTCTTTTTGGTAGGGGCCCTTACTCATCTTTAGGGGAAGCAGTCGGCATATCCCAGGTCTTGCCGAGGGAGAAAGCAAATTTGGAGTTTATGATTTTCTGAATCAGATTAGCTATTGTGGATCCATTTCGATGCTGGGTTCAGCATCTCTGTTCTGTTCAGGAAAAACAGGGCACAAAATTGATGCTGATTTCTGGGAATCACAACTTCAGAGTGGCATTTCACCAATACACTAAAAGTGGAGAGGGTAATTGTGGATAATCGTAACGCAGGGGTTGCAGCGTCTAAGGTGGTTTTACCCCTAATCAGGCGCACTTTAAAGCAGTCCATGTGTCATACTAGAAAGGAAATAAATATCAGCCATCACCGAACCAAATTTTAGACATTGAAATTTGAAACTGCGCTTTTTACCTGTTCTATATTTGGCGATTAGCCTACAAATCTGGCGTGACTTTCTACATCAGTGTACAAACACAGACAAAAATATATTTAATATGTTACAGTACTTCATCCTGATGTAGTATAATTATGATGATACTACATCCGGCAGTAAGGCTTATGATCAGGTGGTTTTGAAAAGCATAGATCCACCTTGTAATTGTAGTTGTTCCCAGGTCCACCTTGACCCGGAGGTAGAACCTGTTCGGGTCCCAGCTATGGGCAAATAGTGAATAGTGAAACTGATGTCAAAACACTACAATAGTGTAGTAATTTTTTTTTATAATAGAAAATTACAAGCCATACGTGTATGTAAAAAAAAATATTACCAGCAATACATTTTTGGAGGGAAAAAAGAAATATTGCCAAAATTACATTTTTATAAAAAAAAAAAAAAAAAATACTACCAACAATAAATTTTTGTAAAAGAAAAATTGCCAGCAATACATTTTTGTAAAAGAAATTACTAATGCTTACAAGAAAATTAAATTTCGGCATTAAATGACCCATGAAGTGTTGATATGCCATTAACAAGCAAAAACAAACAAAACAGTACTTACTGGACTATCCCGGTGTCTTGGGAGAAGGTTTTGAAAAAATATGTTCACATAATTCAAAATTCTGAATAAGTGAATACCTAAATTATCGAGGAAAATTGGAAAAAAAATGTCATTTTCTGAAAGAAATTTAACATTTATGTAGGGATCTCTACTAATTTGCGATAACTAAGGTTAAAATTAATTTTTAAAAATGAAAACGCTTTCTTGAAGGTTTCATTTTAGCTTTAAAAGTTAAAAGGTAAAATTTACTATTTTCAGTAAGCAAAATACTCTGATGTATTTCAAACAGAAATTGATTGGATTTTTTTCTAAAATAGCTGATTAGCGACCTGTTTTAATCGCTTTTCATCGCAATGTAATTCTCTGTATTAAGAAATCTTCCAAAAATAAAATATACTTTTCTGAAACTTTATTCGAGGAATATTAGCTGATTTAAAATATAATTAATCTGATTTGAAGCAAATATTAATTACTTTAACTTTAAAATAACACAGAAATGTATTTTAAAAACAAATAGTAGCTGTGTTTATAACCGACAGTCACCATGTTTTACGTGATTGACCAGTGTTGACAGGTGATAACAGATTGATTGTTGTTCTACCGAGACTTTATCTGTAAAACATAATTTAAGAAAATGACGCGAGAATCGTTTAAATATAAGTTTTAAGTATTCGGTAATCTTAAAAATGTTAGAAAATATCTTCCATAATCTAATTTTAGGAATGTTGACTTTAAGTTTTGTCATCACTCTTATTTTCTGACAATGTCGTGTATGGTCGACCATACTTTCAAAAATGGGCATGTTACGTAATATTTTATATAATTAAAAAAAAAAAAAAATTTTTTAAATCTTGGTGCAAAATGATTTGAATTAAGCTTTTCAATTTTTGATTGGTAAATATAGTTTTTACTTAATAATATCACCCAGTGCAATTTAAAGTAACGGAGAATTTTAAAAGATTTTTTAAAATTTAAGAAAATTATTATAATTAAGATAAAAAAAATGAAACAACTCTTGTAAAAATTCATTTATCATCGAATTTTTTTTCTTTCGATAATAGTATCCTTAATAAATCTTATTTATAAAAGCTGTCAAAAGCTTTTCTAATTAAATAATAGCAGTTTTATTGCATTTTTTTATTTTACGATTTGGAGCAGATTTTTGGGAAAGGAGTATCAGTTTTCAAAACAAAAATTGATGATTTGCATTCTCCAAGGAATCCTACTTTTCACTCATGAAACAAATTTCGCGATCAAAATTAAATTTCTCGAAATTTCATGAAATTAATTATGTGGTCGATAACATATGTAAATATATATATATATTTACCAAGATTTTCTAAAAATAATGATTTAAAAAATAATTTTATTCATTTGTGAAGTCCTGATAGATTCTTTTAAATCCGACAATTATTTTATTTTTGCAAGAATTTCCAAATCAATGTGATTTTCACCAGAAAAAAGGATCCAAAACAATTAGCGTAGATATTACGTCGACCACTAAAGCCAAAAAAAAAAAGAAAAGATTTTTAACCAAAATTTCGAGAAAGGATTAAGAAATTTAATAAAATAATAAAAACATACTTTGGTTTGGCGTTTCCTCTTAATAATAATAAACATTTTGATAAAACTTTATTTTTATTAAGTTTGGGCTTTTTTTAATCAGGTTGTTGTTTTTTTTTTTTTTTTTAGTGAATTAGTGGGAAAACTTTTGTGATGTCAATGAATACTCGTTGTCATTTTAGTAATGCTTGCTGTAGTAGAGACTTTGTAATCGCAGATACAACTATAGTACGCCGTTGAACAATACCAGTGTCAGACGCCTTGGAATAACACTCGCATTAATAGTACTTGCTCGATGCTACTCGCTCGAATAGTAACCACCTTATAGTGAGCAGTATAGAGAAATAGTATAGTGAATAGCGGCCCGTATAGTAATAGAGGATAGAATAGAAATGGCGATCGTTAGTCGTCACGATAATCCCCCACATATATATATATATATATATATATATATATATATATATATATATATATTTCCTCTATCGTCACGTGATCTACTTAATTCAATAATGGTATTGCCTGTGTTTGCTCACTGGCGATATGTGTCTCAAGTGTCGGCAGCGACACTTTATTCCTATATAACAAGTACCTACATTTATGTCATAAAATAACATTTTCAAACGTTTTGTGGAAGGTTTTGTCGATTTTTTAATGAAAAAATGCATCAATTCTTATCTGTTTCCTCGCATCTGAGAATTACATAAGAAGACATAGCCTGTTGTGTGAACAAACCAGGATTATTGAAGTGTATGTTCTTTGTATGAAAACAAAGAGGAAATTAACATGAATTAATTGAACTGATTTCATCAGAAGTTTCATCAAACATTGAGTATAGTTTTCTAAATTAGTCAAAACGGTTGTCTTAAATGAAATACAAGAATGGATTTAGTTCGGATAATTGAAAAACACGTCCGGATGATTTCAGTTTTTCTCTTCATTTGACATCCGGATAATCGAAGTGCAGATAATCAAGGAAATACTTGCATAATGCACGGTGAGGATTTACTGCCGCTCAAGCAAACTTCATTATTGTCTGCAAGTTGTAGTTATACTCAAGCATAAAGAGATTATACACTAAACACCATTCCCTGAAAACCATTGTAACTCATGTTTTTTCTATTCTGAGTACGTGATGGGTGTTGAAAAGTTATCAGTCCAACTAAGAAACACTTTCATAAAAAATGATGTTTGGCTGCCATTTTGTCAGTTTTTTAAGATGTCAGTTGGTTAGTGAACTTTTCAGCACTGACTTGTGTACATATATATATATCAGAACAGACTAGATTCTATCGCCTTGGATGGCAACTGGTCTATGAGAAGGACGACTCTGAATTCAAAACCTGTGGAGGGTTATTTGGGGACCCTATGGCACGTAGTGCACCAATCTCCGTATTCGGCCCTTCACAAAGTGTAGATGGTTCTGCACAAAGCCTTCGTCACTATAATCAAATCATACGTGCTGGTGTCTGGGCTGTCCGTTCCTAGGAACTGAGCTGCTTGACCCTCATACGTCGAATACGACGGGAGAGTCCACGATATATATAGTAATTTTCCAAGCGTAGCTTAGAAGTAGGGGGCACCCAGTGAGGATCGAACTCAGTACTCATTTGTAATTGTTTTAACGAGACAAACTTGCTAACAATTACACCACCTCGAGGTGCACCCACTATATATATATATATATAG